ATTCATACTTGCTTAAGGAAATTACAAGGCAACTAATCTATTTATAGAGAAAATTAGCTAACCAATTATCTAACAAACTAACAATATAACAAACTTAAGAAGGAGCTGGAATATGCTAGATTTCAGGAAGAAGAAACTGGAGCTGCTGGTTTGCTGAAGAACGTGAGTTGCTGTTGAACTGGTGTTGGGTTGATGGTGTTGCTGTTGGGCTGATTTGGGCTGGAGAATATTCTAACAAAATTAATTTATCAACCATGCACCTACCCACCTCGTCCAAACAGATTTCATTATCTATCTCTCTTTACAAAAGTCTTTCTCTACAACCACATACCCTAATTATTTTCCCTTTCCATTCTTTTTCTATATTTCTCTGTATCTTGTCTTTTTCTTTACCACCACCAAATAAACCACCAGCGCGACGCTCAGCTGTTCACGACGTTGTTGGTGCTGCACTCATACAGCGTCGCATGATGCTACTACACTGTAACGACCACTCACAACGTCTAGCCACGGTGGTACTCTGAGATCGACGTCGCTCGAATTCGCTATAGTCGGTGGTGAACTACTTCCATTCCCAATAGTGGTTTCTCCGATGCCTCCACTCCCAACAGCCACTTTTCGATGCCTAAACTCTGATGTAGTGGAATTCACTACAAAGACCTCCGATGCCAGCAATCCAGAAGGACTGGGATGCGGTGGCTATCATCATCAATAGCAGTTTCTCCGACTCCTCCCCTCCCAAGACCTCGGTGCAATGCCACCACATGATAGAGAAGCTCTGCCACTGCTATCATGCTGAGAAGCAGCAATCTCTTTCCTATCCATACTCAGTCGATCATTTTATCTTCTCATGTTATAAGCATCGACTAATCTTTGTAGTGAATGTTGTCTAAAATTTGCATATTTTGAATGTGAGGTTGTGGTTTGTGGTTGAGCATCGATGAAGTTTGTGGGTTGTGATTTGAGGAGGTGGTGATGGTGCTGACGACAGATTTGGAGATTTTTTTGTGGGGATTTGAGACGGCGGTTTTATTGGATCTGATGGTGGTGGTCTGACAGTGGCAACGATGGTTTTTAGTTGAAAATGGTGGCTGTGGTGGTGGATTTGAAGTTAAAAATGGAAGTATGTTGGAGATGATGATGGTTGTGGTAAGGTGGTGTTGTCGCTGCACCCAGTTCACCGTTGAAAGTAAAATAGAGTGAAATGGCCGATGGTGATAGTAGGTTGTTGATGCTGTGTTTGTGTTGCTGACTGTGGGGTTGTGTTGGCGATGGTGGCGCTAGTGGTAGCAAAAAAGCTCGCCGGCTCGGACGGCTTGGGCTTGGCCGGAAAAAAGTTCGAGTCGGGCTCGGGCTCAGGCTCCGGCCCAGCCCCATTTTGGGGGGTCGGCCCGAGCGGGGCCAGCTCGTGTCCACATGGGCAGCCCGTAATTAATTAAAAAAAAATTAAAAATAGTAAAAAAAAATTGCCCGCTTTAAAATAGTTGAAAAAAATTAAAAAAAAATAAAAAATCGAATCGGCTTGGGCCGAGCCTTACTTATTTTTGGCCGAGCTCGGGCTCAAAAAAATTCTCGGCCAAAAAAGCTCGAGCCGAGCCCGAGCTTTTTTTTTTGGGATCGGGCTCGGCTCGTTGACATGGCTAGGTGGCGCTATTAGGCTGTATTGGTGGTAATGGAATGTGACCAATTATTTGGTGAATATGACAAACTATTTGTTTATTTGTGATAAACTATTTAATTGTGATCTAAAAAATTGATAATTTATGATTGAAAAATAATTTATAATCAACTAATTTAAAAATCAGTTACTGATTAATAAACTCTGACTTATAATTTTTTTGATTTGTGATTGATGAAATAAATTGTAACAAATCAAAATTTTTGATTGTGACAATGAAATAATTTGAGACCAATTAAAAATAAATAAAATAGCGTCCCTCGGCCAATAGGACTGTCAGCTAGGGATAACAACGAGGCGAGGCGGGGTGGGGCGATCTTCCCGCCCCCAGCCCCTTTACCCGTTTAAGGGGGGGCGGGGTCCTTACCCCGTTTACTACCCGTTTAATTTTTTTTTTTAGTTTTTGAAAATTTATTTTTATTGACCATATTCATTACATTCAGACAAATAATTTTAGTTGCTATTTTCTATTAGAATTAATGAAATTTTGTAAAAGTTTTCATTTTTGAAAATTTTCATTTAAAGTATTGCATTCTAAAATTAAAAAAAAAAAAAATTAATGGGGTGGGGTGGGGTGCCCATTACCCGTCCCCGCCCTGAGGCAAAATTTGGCTCCCCGTCCTTGCCCCGAATACTCGATTAAGCGGGTTATCTCAACCCCGTACGAGACGGGGCTCGCGGGTATCGGATTTGTCAGATTTTTTTGCCATCCCTATTGTCAGCCCACCCCACTCTAAATAAAGACACAACCCATATTGTGGACCAACTAGCGTGGGGAAAAAAATGGAAAAAATTCAATGGCTATCACTAAACTTAGATGTTTGTTTCGTGTTAGGTGAATGTTTTAATTTGTTTCAACTTACTTGTTCAACTTATATTTTTATTTCAATTTAACATTTGTGTACGTGCTCATTATCAAAACTTAATGGAATTCGTGATTTGACTGAGAGAATTCATCCATGCAAATAATTCACTTCTGCTTACCGTTTTAAAACAAAATCTGAAATTTTGTTGCTAAGACTATAAATCATGCCATAAATTCTTCGAGTTTTGATGACCATGGCAGATAAAATGGTTAAAATTGAAATAGAAATACAAGTTAAGTGAATAAATTGAAACAACCTAGATTAAGACACTCAATAAACAAACCTCTTAGTTGGGTGACTTTCAATAAAAATTTCAAGCTAAAATTTATCTAGACAAGCCAACTTTTAATAAAAAATAATTTAAAAGGAGTTAGAAAATATTTTTTTAGGTCAACGCTTAACTCAGTGGTAAGAACGAAGTCTTATTAGGCCCATGTTCGATAGTCATTATTTGATAAAAACAAAGTTTTGAATTGTGAATTTCTGGATAGCGTATGGTTAAAAAGTAAGAAAAATTTTGAATTTACGTGCATAATACTTTATCGTGTGAATATTTGATTGAAAATGAGTATATAGATTGAATTATGATTGTCAAACAGGGGCTAGATCAATGATCTGGGTTCGGTTTTTTTTTTTTTTGGGAAGAGGTTAAAATTCAAAAAGAAAAAAATTTGACTTTTGTAGCGTGTAACTAGAAGAATGATTCGTTTTATATATTGCTGCGCAAATGGTCCTCATCATTTGGACTTGTTGCAAAATTAGGATTCATCGTTTGGAGAAATTTACATTCCTATTTACACCTTTTTTGGCAAAAGTATGGTTATGGACCTATTGCCAGCTGTTTAATCTTCAAAAGTATTTTTTTTTATTGAAAAATTATTATTGTCTTTAATTTTAATTAAAATAAATAAAAAATAAACTAAACCCAAATTGTAAAGGATAAAATAAACAAGAAGAAAAAATTTGAATTCGATATTAACCGTATTTCTAGTTCAATAATGAAAATTTTCAAACTACAATTCAACCTTATTTGTAACGAAATTATTAAGTCCTTGTTTGGTGATGATTAAAATCAAATTTTTAGCAGATTTTGATAAAAGTTGATGAAATATGCGATTAAAAAATTGTGAATTTCATAAAGTACGTGGTTAAAATTATTTTTTAACTAGATTAAAATTAAAATTAAAATTTTAATTTCTCCCAAACATGGGCTAAAATAGGGCTAAAGCTGTTTTATCTTGAATGCGGAGTTATGAAGTAACGAGGAAACTTGTAATACATAATTGTCAATGTTTTTGTAGGTATCGCAACAAATCGAGCTCGCTCGCACTGGGTAAGAGTCCGAGTGGGTAATACCTGAGTATTCCTCCCTTCTCTCTAGGGTTTCAAGTCCGTTCACTGGCGAACCGATCTTCCTCACCTCAATAGACTGCAATCAAAGACTTCTATTTCCCAATCTTAATTGTAATCCGAATTTGGAAAAAAGGAATGGGAGAGGTGTGGGCATGGCTGCTATTTTTCTTCATTCTCATTGGTATTCTAGTCATGCTAGTTTTCCAGGTCAGTTCCTCTCAGAACCTTAACGTTATGTATAATCGAACACATAATGTTAGTCAATCCAGTTGATATTATAATTCTTCTTATGTTTATGTTTTATAGTGTTAAAATTAGAGCAATGCTAACTAGGAGATAAATATGCAAGGATATATGGTCTGTTTGATTGGCATTATGACACCTTTAAACATGAATGGTGCTATTACTCTAATTGAATAGCTTAATTGTAGTGAGGTGTAAGATCACAATTCTCTTGTTGTACTGCTTGAAAGAAAATCTGGTTATTGTGAATCAAATGAAGTAGGGTTTTATTTTCATGATTATGGATTGCTCAACAAGGTGGATTATAAAAAATTGGGTGTATAGGTGACTCTAGAACGGTTTATTTGGATTCAAGAGTTGGACGCGTGGTTCTTGAATTAGAATCGTTTCATTAAAATCTCTTAAGAATTCAAATATTAAGCCCTGTTTGGTGGGGATTAAAATATGAATTTTAGTAGATTTTGATAAAAGTTGATGAAATAAGTGGTTGAAAAGTTGTGGGTCTCACAAAATGTGTGGTTAAAATTAGTTGTTGACTTTGACTTTGATTAAAATCTGGATTTTAATTTTTACCAAACAGGGGCTAAGTTAAACCAGGAAGGTGTCTGTGTGGAGTTGTAACTTGGAATTGGAATCATATTGTTTGAAATGACATTCTCAGTATACAATTTCTAGGCCGTAATCCCATGCTACTATTCTATGTTTATGCAGTCGAAATTCTTCATGAACTGGTGTCATATGAAAGTTATAGTTGAGCTTTTTATTTTTAGTATGGATTTTACACACTCTTCCCTGATGATAGATTTAATGTGGAATTTGAATTATCATGGGATAAAAAGCCATACCGAATTTAATTATTCTCTATTGAAATCCTAAGCATAAGTGCAACCCCACAGAGCTAGGGCTAGTGGCTTCATTTTTTACGTATTAACTGTGAATGCCATTAAATTTGTGACCTTCTCCTGGAGTTTCTGCATCTAAAGGATTAATTATTCTTTCTTTTTATTACAAATTGACATAACGAGTTAGAAATCGAGCATAAAATTCAAAATTCCTTCTCGCATTGAGAAGTTGTTGATAAGCTTTAACTTGGACTCGTATATTTGATTACTTCCTAATGTTGCCTAATTTTTGGATGGGAGAGGAGAGGAAAGGAGAGGAATTTAATCTTGTACAACTGTAACGTGATATGGAATGTTTCACCTATTTATGATTAAAAGCTATTTACTACAACATAGTGTTGAAGGACTTCACAAAGTGGAAGTTGCACGATCAAAGAATAAGATTGTTTTTAGTTGTTTAACGTCTGCTAAAATTGGCTTTGGAGCATCAAACTAACAATGTTGAACTGTCATGCAGCTCGTGTGCTTGGCAGATCTAGAATTTGATTACATCAATCCTTATGACTCCTCATCCCGGATAAACAAAACGGTTTTACCTGAGTTCATCACTCAAGGAGTTTTATGCTTCCTTTTCCTCATGACAGGGCACTGGGTTATGTCCCTTCTCTGCATTCCGTACTTATATTACAATGTGAGATTGTAAGTTTTCTTCAGCTTTCCTTTGAGACTTGAATTGACACAGGTTGTATAAATCTAGCTTTGCTCTTATGAATAAATAACTAATGTGCTTGAAGAAAAAAGTTGTTCATCACATGCCCTTAAATGCAGCTTCTTCTTCACGTGCCCTTATCCTTCTCCGGCTTGTGTGAGATTAAATTCCATGTACTAAATTTTTAAAACGTGTACTCTATTTGAGATGATTGTTTCCTAAATGATGCCACACAAATTTGTTTCTTGACACACATTAGAGCTTACGTGGTAGATTGTCTTTCTTTGTTTAGCCATCTTGGTTCAAAACCGAGGGTTATATAGCATTATTCTTTGACAAAGTATATACTATTCTACTATAAAGTAGCTAATAGATCATGTGAAGAACTCTTGCACATACTTCATATCCTCGACCAATGTAAGATCGACTACATTGTGAACGATGTTCTTTGTACGTAAAATGGGAGCAAGATTTGCTTGGTACTCTAGGGTCGGGTATCATCTAGCGATGGCAACGGAGTGGATGGGCCAGGGATGGCATTACCCTCCCTGCTAGGGAATTTCGCCCGCCATCCTTCCCCGCCCCCCGGTTTTGTTTTGTTTTTATCTGTCAAGAAATGGGGCAGGCTTGCATGATACTGTGTGGCGATTTTATTTTTTCATTTAAACCCTCCATGCGGGATGATTTTCAGCCACGTCCCTGCCTCATGGACCTGATTAAGCAGTGAATCCCCGCCCCTTTTAGGGGGGATCCCCATGGGATCGGGCCAACGGGTATTTCTGTTATCCCTATATCCTCATTTTTATAGAGATAAAAATTACATTATGTTCCAATCAGATAACGAGATGCCCATATTATCAGGTCTTGCTAAAAACAGCCAAACTTCTTTCTTAAAAATATATTACGTGTGCATAGAGACAGAGAGTTAAGATAAAACCTGTGCATTAGGTTTTATTGCTTCATATTATAGTTATTTGTAACCCTATTAATTAGTTTATTCTCTTTATTATTCTTGAACAGAAAAGAAAACTTTTACAAATTCTCTAGTTCATTTCATGGTTTCTTTTTCTATTATGTTCAGTTTACATTTACTAAGGGTTTATGCTTCAGTTGAACTAGCCAAGTTCTGTGACTGCTATCATTTCTTAGTTGTGGTTTTCTCTGTGAAGGTACATGCAAAGACAGCACCTCGTAGATGTAACCGAGATCTTTAACTTGCTCAGTTGGGAAAAGAAACAACGGATTATCAAACTTGGTTACATTGTATTACTTCTCTTCATATCCTTGTTCTGGTAAGTGACCAATAACAAGCATTCTAGCAGTAACAACGAAAAATTTGCTTCCTGTTAATCTATTCGTAATTTTATGTGGTGCAGGATGATTTACAATGCACTTGAAGACGACGATGAGTTACAATAGTTTCACTTTCGTATTTTGGCAAAGTATAAGCACCATTTGGATCGCATCAAGACTTGCATCGATTACGAGTTTGGTAATGAAGATTAGATGGTGTTAGATAGTATTAAGAAAGAACAATAAGTTAGAATTAGTTTTGTTATACTGTTTAATTCTATTCAATATTGTGTACCAAACATACTTTGATTAACCCGTTTTCGTTTGAAACACATTTTTATGGACACCTATGAAAGTAGGCTGCTCTTTTTTAGCTTTGATTGTAATAGTATGTAGCATTCATGTTTATCCATGTTCCGGTATTCTTGCTTTTGAGACCCATTTTTCTATCGATATTGTGGTAATTTAAAATTGGGTAGCACACTAGTTCTCTTAGCCTCTAATTGGGTTTCTTTTTAGTGTGCTAAAATTATTACTTGCAACCATTATGATCTTCAACTTTTCTTCTGAATAACATTAAAAAATAAAAAAGTAAAAGATAAAAAAAATTAATGAATATTGATATTAAGTTCTTCAGGGTCAAGAATTTTGTCTCACATGAAATAATTTATTTGGAATTTTATCTTTTATCCATGCGATGCGATTGAAAAAGAAATTACCTTGGAGACTTGAATCTCACTTCATAGGTCTTAATAACGACCCATTTAGTGACGTGGGTCTAAGTTTTGGTTACGGGTCAGTGAATATGACCCAACCTGTTCTGTTTTCCTTATCCTAAGGGGAATGAGGATATGGAAATTACATACAACCAAAGTTTTAAACTTCTCAATTCAAAATTCGGATTCCGAAGTTTTTTTTTTTTAAATAAGGTAATTGAAGTTTTTAATATCAATAATGATATTATAAATCAATTTATATATTTACACCCTACCACATTCAAATCCTAAATCATTTTCTCTTTCTTCCTCTCACGTCTCTCTCTACCCTCTCCCTCACTCATGAACTGTCGCCACCAGAGACACCCTATTCGGCGTTCTCAGAGATCCTAATCTCGCATTTAGAACATGTTTGGTTAAGTTTAAAATCCAATTGAAATTGAAAATATAGTCGTTATTGGGTCTCACTCGTCTAATAAAAGTCAACAATAACGACTAATTTTTCAATTTTAATTCAATTTTAATCTTTACCAAACACGCTCTTAATTAATTGTCTCATACTAATTAATCTATACCGAACACGCCCTTTATGTCCTCCAACAGGCAGAGGTGCGGTGGTGTGTGGTCTGCGGTGGCCTGTGTGGTGGTGATCTATGCGTGTTGTGGTGTGTGCAGATCTGTTTGGTGGTGATCTGTGTGTGATGTGGTGTGTGCGGTGATGCTAGTGGTGGTGTGGTGTGGTATGGTGGGTGGAGGTGGGGTATAGCGACGATGGTTTTGGGGTTTTAGGTTGGTTTCTTCCTTCACCTGCTTAGTCGGAGTTTTGTGGGTGTGCGATGATGTTAGTGGTGTTTGGGGTAGAAGGTGGGGTACAACGACGATGATTTTGGGGTTGGTTTCTTCGTCCAATTTGCTTAGTCGAAGTTTCGGTAGTGTGTAATGCGGTGTGATGGTGTACATGGTGGTGGTTTCCATATTTTACTCTTGTTAGGGGTTTGAGGTAGTTTCTGTTGGTGGTGCAGGTAGATGTCTTGGCGCTGGTGGTGGGCGATGGTGGTGCAGCGGTTGTGGGTGGGATGGGTGGGGGTGTTTGTATCAATTATTTAATTGATTGTGACCAATAAATAATATGTGACTAATTATTTGAAATTGTGACTAATAAATTGGATATTTTGTGATTGATAACTTCTAACAAATAAATAATATGCAATTTAAAAATTTGAATCGTGACTTATAAAATTTGTGGTTTGTGAGCAATCAATAAATCGTGATTTATAAATTTTTTATTCATGATCAATAAATAATTTGTGACCAAATAGTATAGAATTGTAACCTTAATATATTTAATTAATAAAATATACTTTTAATTAATTATTTCATAAGTAAGATTTAATTAATACCTGATTTTTGAAGTTTTAAACCTTATTTCTTACTTTTGAAATTAGTCATCCCTAATCCAGATAGGAAAACACTACTTGTACATAATTTGAGTTACATAAGGGTGTCCACCCTCTCACATGGGATGGATCCCACACGAATAAAATTTTTTATTCGTGTGGGATCCATCCCATGTGAGAGGGTGGACACCCTTATGTAACTCAAATTATGTACAAGTAGTGTTTTCCTATCTGGATTAGGGATGACTAATTTCAAAAGTAAGAAATAAGGTTTAAAACTTCAAAAATCAGGTATTAATTAAATCTTACTTATGAAATAATTAATTAAAAGTATATTTTATTAATTAAATATATTAAGGT